CTAACACTGATTTCAATGAAAAATGTTATATTCTCTGAACAAAATGATCTACTTCATTGAGTACACATTTATTTGGATGAATTTTTTTATTCTCCAGTTTGATTTATGATCTGATTGGTACGTAAAATTGACTAGATAAAAACTGCCGTTACATCCAAATTAGGGCTCATCACTTTTGGGGCCCCTTGATTTGACTCCAATTTACACGAACGTTTGAATATGTTGTAAATCAAATATTCCCTTGAATTTCTGTATTATCAAACTTAGATGAACCGCATGTACGGTGGGAATAAGAAACCAAACGCGAATACGGTTAGATGAAATAATTTCATGAAGACAAACATGAGAATGTAAATCGTACAAGCAGAGCGAAGCAAATTGAAGAAGGCGACTGAGCTAACTCAATGCCAAAAGGCATGACTAAGTATTTATAGTTAAGCGGAAAACAAGCCAGACATGTAATAAGTGAAGTAAGCAGTGTGCACACACACACACATGTTCCGTAGCGGTCTAACACTGATTGATTGATTGATTGATGATTTCAAATGTGTGAAAGCATAAACTTCCAAAACTCTGCCTGATAATAAATTCTTAAATGTTTTTAGAACATCTTATGTGATCATTAGCATGAATTTCACATCCTGTATTTGTTTTAGAATTTTTTCTATTCTTTCTGAATGTATATTCTTCACTCTTCAATTACTATTTACACAGTTTTTATTACGTAATTATGAGTCAACAAACTGTTAATTAGACATGAACTTATCCTTTCTAATTCATAACGATCTTGGAAATATTGCTCATGTGTGATAAAGGCTCTTAAACAATTACACTTCAGTAAAATATAATACATTTTTAACACCGAAAGAGCAAGTTTAATGGTACAGTAAACTATCGTCTCCAGAAACGGTCATTCTATGTATCGTTCTAATCCAACTACTGTCTACCGTATTGCACAATGCATTTTAATGAGTTTAGGCTGCAAAACAGACGCAAACTACTGATTGATTGAGTTACACACAAAAGAAAAATAGCCCCAACTGACGATCATGCGTCAAGAAAATTACGCTTATTCACTGGCTATTTTGATTCACTTTAGTTTCATGTCATCCAAAATGTTCATTGTCCATTTGACTGATAACAATAATCATACTACTTTGAAATTACTTAAGTAGTCTATTTAATGGATTGATTTTTTTCCTTCCTAAAATGACATGCATATGATTTCGAATTTGGCATAACCGAAAACACCTATAAATATGAGTTTTTTTTATGTTACGCATGCATATAAATACGTTAATTTGATATGCTTGACCCATTACAAGTTTATCTTAGTCAGTAAACGAAAGCGAGGATCGAGGATCCAGGGACATGACAGGCCACTCTAATCCGATTGTCCCAACCCCCCATTGAGTAAAAGAAGAAGACTTGATATGAAGTAGAACCTGTATTCTACAAACTACCGAGAAAGTAAGAGCTCCGAGTCCAGAAGAGATTCAGGATACCGGATTAGAGACCCTGGTCCGGGTTCGGGTCATAAAACGTTACAGACAAAGCGTATTTATACAGTTAGGTCGAATAGGGAACAACATTGAAGTCTGTGACATTGACATTAGGACAACCGATAGGAAACAACACTTGAAGTGACACTGATAGCTAAGATGACCATAATATTGACCAATAGGAATCGATCTATAGATTTAGACTAACAAAATGAATATCCTAACATTTTATTCAAGCAAAAGGAGTATAAAAGTTATACTGACATCTAAATTATAATTGAGCTGCATGTAATTTTTATTTCGATATTATAATAAGTTGTTTTTTTCAATAAATATATTTTCTAATTAAACAAAAAATTCTTTTTTGACATGTGACAAAAATTATTCTGCATAAATGACAGAAATTATTGATTTAATAAACTACTGTTTTTTTATGCACATAGCAACGTTTTTGTCATTTCGAAAGTTTGTTTTTTTACTAATTAGAGTTTTATTTAAGCGAGTTGGATTTCTAAGAGAAGCAGTAGCTAACACCATGCCTTACGCTCCTCCTTAATCCAGCCTCAAGACCGGCAGTAGCCTAGAAGGAGCTTCACACTGAATTCACTTAAAAAAAGTAGTGAGAAAACTGAGGCAGGCGCGGAAGATTGTATTATGCAACTTGACACTCTTAGTCAATTAAAAACGAACACATTACATTGAACACTCTATTTGCACACCATCTTTGAGTCATGACTTCCAACGCTCCATACTTATTCCATTCCTGTTGTTGCTTCCTTTCCTTCCAGTTGGTACTCCATTTACTTCTTGCTTCTGCTCCATTTGCTTTCCGTTTTCCTCTTCTGACCGTCAGAATTCTTCTTTCACATCCCTTCATATACTACTTATATCGTTCGTATAAGTAGCACATACCACAATAGCAGTGACCACTTATTCATTGATTCACTTCACTCATTCATATACAAATCACAAATCATCAAAAATATTTAATAAGTTTATAAAATAAAAGATATCTGATAAAAATTAAAACAAATAACGTATCGGTGTGTTCAATTTATCAATATTGACAATTATTGATTATTGTACATGATAGTCTATCAAATTCTGATTGATCACTTTTTCTGATAAAAATAAAATTATTATTACTGCTTTTTAATTTGATCAAACTAAACAAACTAATGAAAAAGATCAAATTTCAAAAAAATATAGTAGCTAAAAGAATAATAATTATTGAACATTGATCGAATTGTAGTTTCCGCTTATTTTTTCGAAAGTTTTCACAACTATGTGAATATATATATATACAACCCAAAGTGAAGTTAAAATTTTGAATACAACAGTTATAACAAATGATAATAGATGGATGTTTGTTAATGTTTTAATATGAATAACTAAATAAAGTTGTAAATGATGATAATTGAACATAAAACACTGAAGGCACTGACAGTGCTATTTGATTGACCGCCTGGAGCTCTTCTAGGGTTACCGCTGACCCCAAATATGGATGAAGGGGTCAAGTGAGAGCTTATGGTGAACTGTCACCGGGATTCTTTACTTCAAGTGGTGTCTGTCAGGGATGTTCACTTTCTCAATTCTTGTTTAATTTTATCGTAGACACGCTCCTAGATATAATCTTATCCTTGTCTGAATTTTCAGGCGTGGACCTTATACGAGGAGGCTCGACTTAGAATATGCCGATGACGTAGTTCTTACTTGGTGAAGACGCTGACAAAATGTAGAGTCTTCTGATTACCCTAAGCAACAATGCAAGCATGTTCGGGATGCTGTTCTCACCCTCGAAATACAAATTGTTGCTTCAAGATTGAGTTGCATGGGCACCTGAACTAGTGATAGGGTGTGAAGCAGTTGGGCGTATAGACCGCTCCTCATCAGTGCTGACCGCCTGTTGACTGACGGAATCTCATCTCGGAAACAGAAGGCTCGATTGGCTTTTGCCAACCTGCGTCACTTATGGCGTAGGCGAGATATCCGTTTGCTGACTAAAAGACGAGTGTACTGCGCGGCAGTTCACTTTGTCCTACTATACGGATGCGAAACATGGCCCTTAAGAGTAGAGGACATTCGAAGATTACTAGTCTTCGATCACCTAACCCGTAGAAATACAACTCGCTTAAAAAAAGCGCTAACCAGAAATATAATTCGCTGGTCAGTAGCCTATGAATCCATTAGGGGTAATAGGCGTAAGTAAGTAAGCTATATAGTAAAAGGTCTTCCAGCTAGAAAGAATTAGCAATTTCTGGTCGATACCTTTCACTATCGTAATACATATGAAAAATGTACATAGTAAACAAATTTTGAATTAGAACGCTTCAAAAAATGTAACTTGACAAATCTATTCTTTACATTTAACTTTGTTATTTATATCTATCTAGCTGACCTTATCTGTAAACTGGGCATGAACTCTGTGATCAAAACTATTTTCTGTAGATATTACCATTCAAAAAAGTACTGAGCTTGTCACTGAAATTTGAGAAGTTTCAGATATTTATCAAAATATTTTATACAGCTTGAAAACGACAAAGAAGGAATACCTGCTCTCTTAAATGAATTCATCTCATTTACGAACATAGTTTGGTCAATGTACTTGGTGATTAATAGTTCAGAAAAAAAACAGATAAATTACGATATTCTCAATTAGTGTTTTCACACATTTGAAATGACCAATCAATCATTGTTAGATCACCATTAGAAACCTGGATGCACTGGACGGCCGTTTCGTCCTGGTATGGGACTCATCAGCAGTGCGCATCCACGACTCCTGTACCTCGTAGGATTCGAACCCGGGACCTTCGCTTTAAATTAGACCGAAAAATAATTAACAAATTAATTTCATTCTGAAACTAAACGTCAAACTTCAGAATGTAGGATCCTATTAGCCTACAGCATAAATGATAATGAGTTTAGTACGCATTCACAACTCCCGCAACTTGTAAGAACCGAATCAAGGACATTTGGTATTGTGCGCGAACGCTTAACCTCTGGACCACTGAACTGACCTCCAGTGGCGTTCATATCTAACTTCTATCTATCCATGATCTTGCACAACCTCATCCACTGACTTTGGTAAGAACAGCGTTGAAATCCACTAGTCACCAATTCTCACTAGAACTTAGAGAAACTTCCTCACGGAGCTAGTACTAGTGAGTACAGGTAATTCGCCGTATGGGGTTGTGGAGATTTTCGCTGTACGTCTTTTTTGGGAACCATGAATCGATCATTGTTAGAAAATCATTAGAAACTGTTCTGTCTTAGTACGGGATTTATCAGCACCGCTCGTGGGGTTCGAACCCAGGATATCTGGTCTTGCGCATGAACTCCCAACCTCCTAGTTTCTAATGATGGTCTAACAATGACTGATTCATGATCTCATTGACTGTTATTTCTTATTTTTTCTTCAAAATATTTTATTATTCACTGAATAAGGAGATTGATATTCGGTTATGTCCATGTTTTGTTCTACACTGTTCTTCTCCGCAGGTTCTTCACCTTCACTAACATGTGCACTAAGTACAAACGGGAATCAAATCAATAGTAAAGAATTATTATCATTTTTATTTAGTACAGTTTTAACTTATATGATACCATGTATATTATTAGTATTTATCAATATAATCATACTTGTGAAATTGATTAGTATTAAAACGAAACGACGTATCTTATGCCGAACAAGTAATACAAATATACAATTAATGAGTTGGACTGGTACAAATCCTCCGGAATGTTCTTCAACTTATCCAAACGCCTCATCACCTCCACCTACAACAACAACAACAACAGCGTCAAGTATAACAGCTGAATCCAATGAACTATTCACATCAACAATGACATCAGTATTAAAACGTCGACGACATACTATTATAGAAGATCGTAAAGAAGTTGGTCGTATTATAGCATTACTGTTATTATCATTTTTCTACTTATGTTTCACATTCCCAGTCAGTATAAGTTTAACAATACGCGCCAATTTAAATGATCAATATTCAAAGTGTATCCATTTGCTGTATGCACATTTATCACGTTTGTTAACATCAATTAAAGATATAAATTATGCTTTAAATGGTTATACTTATGCAATATTTTTTCAATTTTATCGTACAAAATTATGGAATATTATAACATGTCAATGTTCAACAAATACTAATAATCGTCGACGTGCATATCGACGCGGCCATTGTCAAAATCAAAAATCCCTCACTGTGGATAATGATAATAATACAAACAAAAAATATCGTGAACAATGTAGTACATCAGTGATATTGAAAAATTATTTCACCAATAAATAAAGATCATTTGAATCCTATTTTTAATGAACAGCACATCTATACCTGTGAGTGTATGTAGGCAGAGAAAACATAGCTCTTCTCTTTCACATTCCTAAATGACGGATTTAAATATTTTGATTATTGAACTTTGAAAGTGAACATTTAAAACAAAATATAAAAAGGCATATTCTCCGTTTTTTTTGGGCATAATCACATCACTCAACAATGTACACTCCTACTTATTTCACTGGATTTCATGTTGATCGCGTATATTTATTTGTTTGTGTGTTCATGATTCAAATATCTACACGTATTGAACATTGATTGAATATATTTATCCTTCATGATTGTGTATAAAATGTTGTCTTTCTTTCTTGTCATTATTGATACATGATGTCGATACTGTTTTAAATATGCAGACCGACATGATTATTATTATTATCTGAGTCATTATAATTGAATCTTGAATTTTATTGATCGATTTATTTTGTAGGCGCGATTGTTGAATATTTCACAAACATGTATTTTATATTATGTATCATTGAATACCTATAATGTTCTACATTGTTATTCTTTCAAACAAATGTAGATCAAAATGAAGTCTATTTCATTCGTGAAGTTTAACGACTAGTGCTTGATGTTATTTATGTTTACGTGTAATTACAAGAAATTCCAAGAGATTCTTTAATGTTACAAGTGTTTTTTTAAATTCTGGATCGATTTTTCCTGAACAATTATTGAAAATTGAACAGTTATCTTAGCGTAGTACAAGATTTTTCTCTAGTACGTACTTATGGTCGAATCAGCGCTAAGATTCACATTGTATTAGCTTTATATAGCCCAGATCATGAGATTCTCTCAGTTAATCCAACTCTTCTTTGAACACGTTGATAGATAGGGATTCAATCAGATGTTGAAGTCAGGTGTTCTACCGATTGACAATTCAATGAGAAAGTCAACAGTTAGCTGGCAATTAATGCATTCTAGGTTTGTTAACTTTTACAGAGTGTCATCATAAACTCCCCGTTTTACAAGATAAGAAACATGACGACATGCAATTTCAAATCATCGTGAAGTAAGTTAAAAACAGCGGTCAAACCATCTACGTACAGTCATTTAGTAAATAAAAGGAGAGTTAGTTTAGTTTTGATGCTTTTCCATTCTTAAGTTTCGTAAATGTTCATCAAACAATTTTAAATTTCTCACATACACAAACTGTTAAAAGGTGACATAATCGAAATCAACAAAAATATCAAAGGTTTCAAATCAGCTATCCGTTTACTACCAGCTAATTTCTAGTCAAACTATTGGGTAGTTATTAGCAACGGTTTTCAACATCGTCAGAAAACGAAAGTGAGGATCCGGCGACACGACATGCTACTCTAATCCGATTGTCTCAAACCCCCATCGAGTAAAAGAAGAAGACTTGATATGAAGTAGAACATGTATTCTCCAAACATCCCAGAAAGTACGAGATCCGAGTCCAGAAAAGGCTGAGCATCCCGGACTAAGGATCCGGGTTCGAGTCCGGGTCATAAAACTTTACAGATTGACTTGATCTACCATAGTCGTGTCACGATGCAGCTCGGTATCCATCAACATCACTAGCTCAGCTGCTGCTCGGGTAATAATTCAAGTCTCGACGATAGGATAAAGTTGCAATACTTGTTCAGCTCTGATGGACCAAGTTTTCGAAGGAGGAGATGCACCTTCCAAGAATCATGTCTGTCAGAAAATTCAACTGTGAAGAGATCTTCATAACGCCCAAACCAGGTATCAAACGTAATACTGGCGTCAGGATCATAAAGAAACTCTTAAATACTACTGGTTATACCATCGACTAACTGAGGAATTATCGGTGTAGATGAGAACTGAGAGGTATGTGCGCCTGAGCAAGCATCTCCATCAGCTTCAGCTGTAGTGCAAACAATTTTTCAAATTTACCTGGATCCATAATTAGTCACCAACTGGTTTGAAAACCCCCGTCGCCTGTTGTTATAATGCTGCTATGTAGCTATTCGAAATCCTGCCGATTAACCAAATTCAGATATTCCCCAATACGATCCCAAATACCGTTCCCAAACCTCCAATATATCAGGAAACAACACAGTTAGATGAAGTTGTTTATGGGGTCGAGTACAGAAGGAAGGAAACAGTAATAAGCTTTACAGATACTGCATATTTATGCATTTAGGTCGAATAGGAAACAACATTGAAGTACATGACATTGACAGTTAGGACGACCATACATAATATTGACCAGTAGGAAATGACCAATAGGATTAGACTTCCGAAAATAGTTCTCTCAAGATATTTGATGAATATCCTAACACATTCAGTAAATGTCCTTATTGATTTATCGTCATATATTATTATAAAATCTTGGCATTTTTTCAATTTCTTACTTGATAAACAGCACCAGAACCTTGTTAGTCTGATTCAGGGTTTAGAGACTGTCGGTAGTGTAAATCATAAGTATAAGCAGCCATTCAATGCTCCATCACACGAAAAGCATCACTGTCGAATTTACCACAATATGAGGTAACAATTATACTCCTTTGGGGGACAGCATTTACCGTTTATCAATTTGTAACCGTTTATTCAGAAGAAACCATGAAAAATTCATGCCATCCAAATTTGAGATAGATAAACTTTACTGATTTCAACAACCATTAATCACTCCATTTCAAATAAGTCGAATTCTACTTTATTATAATGTGGTGTGAGCTACTTATAAGTAGTATATGACGTGAGTGTCAACGTAATATCTGGCAGCAGAACATGGGGGAAGATCAAGGGAGGAAGAGTTAGAACACAATAGAATTTGTATGAAACGCATGAATAGTGACAATGGATTGATGTTGTTTGCAACAGGAACAGTCCAGTTTGATATGATGGATTGATATTTTGCAAATGAACGATTTACGATGTGGTTTTCCGATTTTATTGAGTAACTCTGTAATTTTCGTTCAATGCGATTCGGTTGCCCCACTTGTGTTCTCGTTCACTACAATAAGACTTGATACATGCAGTCAACTTGTACTCCATACCGATCTATAATATGCTTATTCTATCATTCAAACATAGATCAAAATTATGTCAGTTTCATTCATAAAGTTGAAATGTTGTAAAACACTAGTTCTCCAAGTCATGTTCATATTGTAATTACTAGAAATTCGCAGAGATTATACAATTTTAAGAAATTTCACATTCCGGATCGATTTCTATTGAACAGCTATTGCTAAATAAGCGAAAATTGCAAAGCTATCTTATTCTAGTACACGACTTTTCTCTAATACGTACTTATGCTCTAGTCCCAGCTAAGATTCATCGTATGCAGGCTTCACAACGAATGCGGTGGGCATACTTTTAGACTACTAACCAGTACTCAGTCACATAAACGATGCTTGTCTCAAATCTGATTGTCAACAAATTGTAAAAGTAAAAGATTTTCAATAAATATACCTTTATTCATTTCAGATATAAATAAAACGTTAAACTATATACATATATCTATACATTCGGTGGATAGAAGTAGTTAGTGAGATATCCCGAAGCTTATCAAGCTGATCATTTTGAGGTATCTCCGAAGCATTGCTCGTTGGTAAAGGGGTCCTAGGTAAGGATGGCAGGTCAGCAGATGATGTAGTGAAAATTGATGTTACGTATGCCCAAACACCAAATGCCTTGTCGAGCTATGTTCTGCGATGTAAGAATAGCTTGGAATAAAGTTAGTGGCGGTCAGGCCAAAACATGGAAGAAATGCATGAAGTCACTGACAAGTGGACTGAGTCCTGTTGGTAGGTTTAGACTACTTTGTCGGAGCCCTTGAGATGATGGTTAGAGACCCTAAATGACATTTCCCAAAACCGTTTGCAATCGCCTAGGATCTGTCCACTCTTTATGTTCTCTCAAAACCTAACCTTCACAGTTGCTCATCACCTTTATTTTTTTCTTTTTAAGTTTATTTCACTAGATTCTACTTCTTGAATAATATCTTCTAATCCTAATCTCTCCGATTACTGCTCATACATTTACTACCTCTACAACTATGGGATTTGAATTGACAATTTCATTCCTGTGTTAATGTTGCATGACAAATTGAAATGATGTACTTACGTACGTACGAAGTTCTAAGTTGCTCTTGATTGATTCACTGATTGAGTTATGAGTAGAGTATTACAACAGAACAATATTTTTTCGAATCCCATTTTAATGACCACATTTCCTAAGCTTAAATGAATAAGTTTTAAGGCTAAGATTTAAAATAAGCTTCAGAGTTTTCAATCAGAATATTCAGTTAGAAATTATGTCTTTCAGACAGACCTTAGGGACAGCATTAAATTAGATCATAAATCCTAAATTGTAAACATAAATTTTAAAAATTCCATTCTAATCTTAAACCATAAAAAAAACTCTACCTTGATCATTAAAAATGGTTGATTACAATTTTGCTGAAATCAAATTCTTTAAATGGATTAGTTGATTTACTCAAGGTTATCCATTTTGTTTCCTGAACATCACTCAAGGTCAGTTTTGTAACACTTTTTATGATGAATTTAAACAAAAAAAATCTTTGTTATTTTTTTACAACTAATCTGAAGAGATGACTAAAAAATTTATGAATTAGACAAGTGAAAGAAATTTGACCATTTACTTATTGCAGATTAAGCACCATTTAGTGAAACGATTTCAAAAGATCTCCAGATAAACCGACCATGCAACTTGATTATATCAGTATATTGAATCTTACTTGGTGAGTGCTGCCTCTGACTCAAGATATTAGTTTTTAGCTAAGTTACTAAAACAATCCTACGTAAAGAGTATATAGGCCACTATTAATTTACTTTTGGTAACGAGAAATGTTCATGTGTTTGGTTAAGTCAGTATCAGCACAGGCTATTCAAAACTTTATTTGATATAAGTTTTTAAAAAAACTCAGAAAATGCAATACCAATAAAAATAATTGTCTTTATTAAGATCAATTATTCAAGTATGAGTTTGTTATAACAAATGGTTGTTAACTTACTCATTAAAGCTTTTTCCTAATAGTATACAAATTCAGTCCGTGCTAATGTCAGTCGGTCAGCAATATCGTAGAACTTCATACATCATTTCAAGTTGCTATACCATGTTAGCACAGAAGAGCAATTATCAATTCAAATCACATAGTGGCAGAGGTAGCAGAAGTATGAGCACTAATCGGAGATTAGGGTTTGAAGATGTTCTTCGATAAGTATAACCCATTGAAATTAATTTTAGGCTAGAAAGGTGAAGGTACTTGTAACAGCAGATGAGAGCAAACTAGACACAATCAAATCCTTCCTAAACCTCCTAATAACCCTTTTACCTCAATGACCAAACATCAACATGGTATTGAGAAGTTAATAGACACCTCTTTCTGGATATATAATTCAGGTAGAAGTTCATCGATTGCAACTGTTTCGGTGAACCGAAGAGACCCCAAGTTTCTTTTATTTCAGTTAATAGTTTTAAGAGATTGG